TGTGCTGCTTTTTGGCAGACCAAGAAATTAGATTCCCACCAAGATATAAAAAGAAACGAGCGTCGGGTATCTAGACACCCTGCCCAATCAGCATCCGAATAAGCAACCAAGGACTGTATTCGTGTCGGCCGCAGCAGAAAACCCATGGTTTGGGTACCAAAAAGATACCGAAGAATCCTTTTGACAGCTTTCCAATGATCAGTGGTGGGTGAATGCATGAATTGACAAACAGAATTAATAGCAAAAGAAATATCCGGTCGAGAGAATGTTAAATGCTGTAAAGCACCAACAACTGTGCGATATAACTTCTGATCCTCTGCAGACAAAAGAACTCCTTGTGTGAGAGAAAGTACCAGCTTTGGTTGCAAGGGTGGGTGCTGGCCGAAGCTCCTTGAAACCAGAACGAGCAAAGATAGACTGTAGATACTTTTGCTGATGCAACAAACGACCATTATGTGAAGAAGAAACCAGTATACCAAGAAAATAATGGAGAGTGCCAAGATCTGTCATTGAAAATTCCTTTTTTAAAAGACCTAGCAAACGCTGCAGAAGTGGTGTTGTAGATGCAGTGAGAACGGAACAATTGGATTTTTGGTCCCTGTATTGCCATCGATTTTGAAATGTCAGCCCTGTACTAAAATTTTATGGATTTTGGTCCTCGTACTACCTCAAATATATGGTTTTTCCACCGGGCGACCGTCGGAGACACATGTCACCATATTATTCGCCCACATCTTCATGTGGGCCCCACCGACCTGGATCAACTGGAAAGACAACTCGTTCGCAATGCCAAGTTCGATCTGGGTTGGTGGGGCCCACATGAAGCATGGACGAATAATATGGTGACACGTGTCTCTGACGGTCACCCGGTAGCCGGAAGTACCAAAAATCATATATTTTGAGGTAGTACGAGGACCAAAATCCATAAAATTTTGGTGCAGGGCTGACATTTCAAAACTGAGGGCAGTTGGGACCAAAAATCCACTTGTTCCCAATGAGAACTATGTCATCAACATAGAATAGTAAAAAGGCAATACCCTGCTACTTCGAAGAATGAACAGAGAAGCGTCTGATCTGCTGATAATGAAACCATTTGGGAACAAAAAAGATGCAAAGCGTTGGTACCATGTCCTGGTGCCTGTTTTAAACCATAAAGAGCTTTCTTCAACTTACAAACATAACCGGGAAAACGTGGATCTTCAAAACCCGATGGTTGAAGCATGTAAACATCCTCTTGAAGGAAGCCATTGAGGAATGCATTTTTCACGTCAAGCTGATGAATAGACCAACCGTTGGAGACTGTCACAAAAAGAACAGTACGAATGGTGGCGGGCTTTACAACAGGACTGTAAGTTTCGTCATAATCTTTACTGGCACGTTGACTATATCCCTAGGCAACCAGGCGAGCCTTATGGCGCTCAAGACTACCATCAGAATTATATTTTCTCTTGTAAACCCATCTGGAGCCAACAATGTTGATGTGTGGAGAAGGGGTGGGACTAAATTCCAGGTTTTATTGTTAACTAAAGCTTGATATTCCTCCAATATAGCAATACGCCAACACTCATCTTTAGAGGCCTGGAGAAAAGTACGTGGTTCTGGGTTATTGTGTGTTATGAGAAGCCAAAATTGTTGTGTTTGGTTTTCGTATACCAGTGCGAGAGCGCGTGGTCATGGGATGAGAAGGAACAACTGGAGGAGAAGAAGAAGAGTGTGGCAACAATTGTTGGTGGATTGCTAAGTCTTGGAGACGGGTGTTGCCAGAAGATGTAGATGGATGACTGTCGGTAGGATCTGGATTAGCAGGAGGAGAAAGATTAAAAGTAGTGGGTTTGTCTAAAGAGACGTGATCACTAGTGGAAGGATTAGAAGATGTGGTGTTATCTAAAGAAAGGTTATCACTAGAAGTAGGATAAGAGGAGGCGGCTGGTGGATTAGAACTCAAAGGAACAGGAGCCTTGGTTGGAAACAAAGTTGTTCTAGACGGATTGTTCACCACTGCTGATAGAGGCGACGCTGGAACTAGTGCACTTGGTAAGTTATGAACAACGGTTGGATCAAATCGAAAAGAAGGAACTGATGGCATGGTCAAGGACTATGTGTTAGGCTGTGCAAAAGGAAAATTATTCTCATGAAAAAATAACATTATGTGAGATGATGACGTTACGAGAGGTAGGGTGATAACATCGAAAACCCTTATGGATTGGTGATAAACCAACAAAGACATGAATTTCAGCACGCGGAGTAAGCCTATGTAAACTAGAATGCATATTATGAGGGTAGCATGCACACCCAAACACCCGAACCAGATCAAAAGTAGGAGTACCATAAAGAATATATATGGACTATGCCAATGCAATGTACTGTGAGGCAAACGATTTTGAACATAGACAACATAGTGTAATAACTCTACCCAAAACGAAAGTGGCATACTAGCGTGATAAAGGATAGACCGTATTGCATTCAAAATTGTTCTATGTGTTCTCTCTTCCATGCCATTCTGTTGATGACTATAGGGATAAGAGAGATGACGCTTGATGCCATAAATGTTTTAAAAAATATCAAATTCGTTATTGCAAAACTCACCCCCTCTATCACTTTGGAGATATTGAACTGGAAGATTAAAATGTGTAACAGTTTCAGCACGCAACAATTTGAATTTGCTCAAAACTTCACTTTTATTGCGCAAGGGATACACCCAACAGTACTTGGAATACTCATCAAGAAAAAGAACATAATATTTGTACCCACTAAAAGAAACTACAGGTGATGTCCAAACACCACAACGGAGAACATGAAACAATCCTAGACTAGGCTAGATCTGAAGCTGAAGAGCGTAAAAGTTTGTTTGCCAAGCTGGAAAGCATGACAAAAGCTCATATTATTAAAAGACAATGAAGAAGATGAAAGCTGTTTGGCAAATTGCATTATGACTGGAGTACCTGGATGACACAGACGCCGAGGTCCGGAGATAAACGACCATGAGAAAGGGCAAGGGAACTAGCAGATGCCATAGGGCCAGGAACAAGAAGACAATAGAGAGGACCAGAGTCATTGCAACGAATCTTGTGATGGAGAAATCGATGACCCTTCACAGAAAAACCAAAAAAATCAAAAGTCACAGCACAAGAATTGTCAAGAGCAAATCGTTTAACAGAAATTAAGTTCTTTGTGAGAAGTGGAACTACCAGAACATACCGGAGAACAAAAGAGAAGGACCCAAAGTAAAAAGGTTTTTGTACCAATATGAGTGATGGATAAATACTTACCATCACCAACTTGCACCGAATCAGTGCCTGTGTATTCGGAAAAAGAGTCCAAAGAGGAAGGGGTATTCGTCATATGACTAGACGCACCGGTATCACCATACCATATTGGACTGTTGTGCTCATGGATTCCAGCATAAGAAACCATAGCAGTCCGCTGGGAACAGGTCTTCGCTGTGTGATTATACCCATCACACAACTAGCACTGCACTGGAGGGGAACCCAACACGGACAGAATAGAACCAGAGGGCCGAGTGGGACGATAAGAAGAGGTAGAAGAAGAAGATGGGGCAGAAGAAGATTGAGCAAGGCGTGGAGAAAATTGTGGATGAGGAGAGTAGAAGGGCTGGGGTGAAAACGGTTGTCGAGGTTGGTATGAACCGCCACCACGACCCCAACCCCCACGGCCATGACCACCACTGTAACCACCACGCCCGCGACCCTGGCCATTTTGAGGTTTGGACTGAACAAACAAAGCCTGAGAATGATCCAAATAGGGAATAGAAGAAACATATTTGTGTTTGTTTTTACGAGTCTCCTGGGCAAGAAGCATGGAACGTAGTTCAAAATAAGAAGGGAGAGGGGATTTAGAGGTAAAAAGCGTGACCACATCATTATACTCATCAGGAAGGTCATCCAAAATTTGCATGACAATATCATCTTCACTAAGACCCTTACCAATAGAATCTAAACTATCAGCGATACCCCTAACAAACTTCAAATAATCAGACATAGTTTTGGACCCTTTTTTCGAATTAATGAATGCAGACCGATACTCCATATAACTTACTTGAACATGATCATGAAAAACTTTTCAATGGACACCCAAACCTCTCTTGTAGTAGGGAAGAGACCAGGACGGACTATATGTTGTCAAATATCTAAACTCACAGTGGCATAAATCCACGGCACAAGAGTGCTATCAATCTGACTCCATTGGGCAAACAAAGGATTTGGGGAAGGTGGTGCATCAGGTGTAGGAGAAGGAAGAAAAGTCGGTGGTGGTGCACTAGTTCCATCAATTTGACCAGTAACTTGATGAGAGTGAAAAACCGTGTAGAGCAAACTTTGCCAAACCAGGAAGTTTGAGAAATCAAGAGTAGCAGGGACTCAATTCTTAATATTGCTAACACTAAGAACCGAATGCAAAATAGAGATTGAATGAGACTCAGAAGCAAAACTAGAAGAAGAAGAAGAATCAGACGTAGAAGAAAGTGGTGAAGGAGAAGTTGACATCATTGAGATTGTATAAGTTTGGGTGATTGTTACAGATTTCAGCCTCTAAAGATGAGCAACTGCATTATCAAAAAAAAAAAAGATGAGCAACTGCTCCACTATCATGGAGAGAAATGCACAGGCTACCGAACTGATGATAGTCCTGACAATATATATTGATGATACGTAATATATAATTATACAGAATTCTACTTGTAGTATATGTCTACTTACATAAAATATCACAGTCCTAATTAGATAACATAACAAACCATCTTAGCTGTTGTAACTGACATCTATATCATCTAACAATTACTATTAGTCTATTAATTTTTTTGTTGACATACATAATTTTTTTTTTTTGTTGACATACATAAATAACCCACACTCGCCTCATGTCGCGGCCACATCAAAAAGAGAGACCAAGCCGAAAAAATTAAAACACGGAAAATAAAAAAGAAGAAATCCCTCCTCTCTCTCTCTCTCTCTTTTCTTTTCGTTTTCCGGGCCCCACACAAAATGGAGACCGGGCAAGCCAGCGCCGACGACCTTTCCGCCCTGTCATCCTCCCCTCTGTCCGCCGTCTCCCGGTGGACCCACGCCGCGTCGATGCGGTACCAGTACTTCCTGGACAAGTCGGTGCCGCACATCCTCTACCGCTGGATCGCTTGCCTGGCTATCGCGTTCATCTACGCCGTACGCGTGTACTTGTTGCAGGGCTTCTACATCATCACCTACGGCGTCGGGATTTACATGCTTAACCTGTTGATTGGGTTCCTCTCTCCCCAGGTGGACCCGGAGATCCAAGACGGCCCCACCCTCCCCACCCGAGGATCCGATGAGTTCCGCCCCTTCGTTCGCCGCCTCCCTGAGTTCAAGTTCTGGTACCCATCGCCCCCTCCCCGACTCCCCCCATTTTAGCCGATTTTAGGGTTTACTCGTTCCATTTCTGTTCTTCCTTGTTTTCTGCTGTACCTACCTATTTGTGCTTTTGAGTAGAAATTTGAGGATTTTATTGGGAATTACGGGATTTGTGTTAAAATATGAATAGGGTATTATCATTTTTGGGCGAAAGATTTAACCTTTGAAGCTAATAACTAGTACTTGGGATAATGTAGTGACTCTGATTAATGGTATTGGCTTGGTTTCTTTGGGCAGGTATTCCATTACGAGGGCATTTGTCATCGCTTTCGTAATGACATTCTTCAGTGTCTTTGATGTGCCCGTCTTTTGGCCTATACTCTTATTCTACTGGTTCATGCTCTTCATTATGACTATGAGGAGGCAGATTATGCATATGATCAAGTACAAATACGTGCCTTTCTCCTTTGGCAAACAGGTATCCACTAAACCACTTGTTTTAGCTCGTAATGTGCATCTTGTGCCAGCGTAATTGTTTTTATTGTATGGTAGCGATACGATGGAAAGAAGCCAGCCCCCACGGCCGACAGCACAAGCCTTCCCCTTCCCCGGGAATAAAGTTTTCAAGGTAGTGTCCATATCTGAAGTGAATATTTGGTTCTTGAAGATTTTTACCACATAACATAAGGTTGCTCATACCTTTCAGCATCTTTTTATTTGACAAGTCTCATGTGGAAGGCTTTGATTGTTCCAGGAGTTGGTTTGAGTACCAATCATTGCATTGAATGATTGTTCTTCCTCTTTACCCAGACATTTTTACATGGCAAGTTTACTAGTGGCCTTAGTGGAGAATTTGGCAGGAGAAAGTGAAGTAGTTTGATTCTTCATCTTGAAGAATCTGAATTTCTTTAGAATCACAGGGGTGCACCCCATTCCATGTTTTGATTTATAGTTAATTCAATGAGGTCTAGTGTAGTGATAGCCTGAAAGGAACGCCAGTCAAGTCATGCCATAGAATTATGATTACACATTGTTGTTCTTTTTATTTTTAACATCCGATGCTAAAAATACCGAATCCTGTTAGAAATTTTCACTTCTCTTGGTCCTTTACCTTGTCTCTTTAATTTATGAAGCAAGCTTGCAGGCTCTCTGCTAATTGAATGTTTTTTACTTAATTTGGTTGGCCAATTTTTGGATGAAATGTGATTGGTTTTTTGAGGGGCCCAGGCGAATACCTGGAGGAGGAATTGCATGATTATTTCCCTTATTTCTCAAAAGAATGTTGGTGGCCAACCCCTAATCCTGATAGAGAGTGTCGGGGAATGTATATCGAGACAGGGAAGTTCAGATCATTAGCCTATCAGCCTTTTAGTTCTTTAGGGGGGCCAGTTGAAATCATGTACTTGCACTGAACGTCAAAAGTGTTGTTCATCCAGTAGTGATGAAACTAACCCACACTAACAGAGCTCATCTGAAGCTTTAGAGATCGCCAGATCTGTTCCCCTTAGAGATTCATTTTCGTAAACCAACTATATAAGCGACTGATTGCCGATTTCAGCCTTAGTTTTAATTCCGGCGCAAAGCATATTTCCCCGTTGCACAGGTTCCAGAAAATATCAGCTACTTTGTGGTGTTGAAGTTGAAGTGCTAGCATAATAGCTAACGGTTCAAACATTGGTTTCTTATGCGATCAATCCCAAAGGTGTACTAGTCATTTGAAGAGTTATGACAAACTTTACGGTCTCATTATCTACGTCTAACGATCTCTTTTCTTTTTAGGCATTGCAATGCTCATACTCTTATTTATGCTACTGGTTTATTTTTTCATGGCTGTTTATGTGTCATTCTGCTCGTTCTCAACGATCTCTTTTCTTTTTCAGTCATTGCTATGCTTGTACTCTTATTTATGATATTGGTTTATATTTCATGGCTGTTTGTGTGCCATTCTGCTCGTTCTCATTAGTTGAATACCATCTCACTGTTGAAATGGGACTCGCATGATTCCCGACATTGATATGAGTGTTCCGGCTACTCTCTTTTAATAGGGTAGCACGTTCATACTGGATGTTTTGAGGCTATCAGTTGCTTGCTATATCTGTTTTTCCCCAACAACGAATACAGTGCTGTACTTTGACTTTTTAACTTGAACCAACCAAGGATCCCTAAATCCTTCTTGTATCACAAGGTTATTCAAAAAGACAAAAAATACCATGTATCATATTCCAACACTTAGTGTCAAATAATCAATGACAAACAAATCATAAGCTTAAACATTTACATCCCCAATGTATGTAACCTATGGTCCAACTAATTCGTTATCTCAGCTTAAAATGGAATAACTTCTACAAGCAAAACATATGTGTGAACTGCTGGAACTGAAAACTTTCAAGAATATAACAGAAATCAAGAACTTGGCTTGTAGTAGGCATAAACCCCATAGAAAGTCTGTGTCAAAGTGAGTAACAGCAGCACCACATGAGATGATGGCAGCAACTGAGATGATGGCCCAATGATTGTTAAAATAGTTATGCTTCAGACTTGCACGCCACGTGTTCCACTTGTGATTGTAATATTGGTTTACATCCTCGGACAAGCGGGAAAGGTAACTGTTATTTATATCAAAAACCACCTCTTGACAGAGGCGGTTGAAGAGGTCTGCAACTTCAGCATCACTGCCCAGCCAATGCTCAATAATGCCACAATAATGAAGGTATGCTACATCCTCAGGGGAATTAATCAAGTTATCCATGAATATCACATATGAAGTAATGTCATTGCTGGAATCAAGATGACACTGCTCAAATGCAATGAGATTGAGGAAAAGTGATTTAGTACCATCATGGATCAACAGTCTTGGGATCCGGAGAACCCCATCCTCGAATTTTATGTCCCAAAACCGATCTGTTTTCCTTTCCTTGAGTTCGATGCCAGCTTCTCTGAGCTCTGTAACGCAGTGGATCAACTGCTGGCGCCGTTTATCCGCAACCCGGCTCGTCTGCGACCATCGCCTGATCCTAAGTTTAGGGGTCGGCTTAGGCCCTGTGCGCAAGAGGCTTCTTCTGAAAACATCCAAGCAATGAAGGCCTTCCTGATCGGACAAGGGATCGAAGGCAGTTGCATGTCCAAGAGAGGATGCTAACTTATTCCTGTCACTTTTAGTCAGTGGCTCATCTGTCGGCATTAAAGGATCGAAAAATCTTAGCGCGAGCTTGGCCACAAATCCTTTCTGGTTAGGATCGTTGAACTGCAATCCTAATAGCCTATCAAGTGTAAAGAGAGGAAGCCGGTTCTCTAGCATTATCATGTCTCTCTGAATAGAATGCATTGAACCCCGAATTGCAAAAATAGGACCATTTCTAGCATAACCAAGTTGCTCGAATCCCTCAGCAACACCCAGGAACAGTTCAAGCACAAAGCATCCATCAAGAACCATCATCTCTACAAAATCATTGCTGCTAAGACTGATAGCCCCATCATAAAAGGAACGAGCCTTCTCCTCAAGTTCTCTTACAGAATCAAGATAGAGCTTTATGTCTTGATTCGTACGCTTAAGCATATGGTGAAGGGACCTCCACTTATGGCTGTCCATTTGGCGCAGCCGTCTCTTTCCGTGGTGATAAGGCCCCAAAGAGACAATCTGCGGAACATAGGCCTTGTCATCTCCTTCTCTCAAATAGTGGGGTATCTTGTAGATGGATAACTTGGCCCAAGAACTCGCTTCGTCTTCTAGGCTGGCTTGCTCAAGCCTTTCCTTGATGGAGATCAGCCACTCTGCATCGGGGGATTTTGTTTTCTCTTCTTCAGGCTTTGCACCATCGTCTTTCACGGGAATCTGCAGGGAATCTGATGGTGCTGGCTCTTCTTGGGGCACTTCCTTCTTGGACTGCACTGGATATTCAAGCAATGGGGTGCCTGCAGGAGCTGTTGGGATATTTGGTTCTAAAGTTTCTCTGAGTTTGAGAGTTATGAGGTACCAACTTAGGAGCTCCTTGTTGAACACAGCAACCATTTTTGTTCAGGTAAGGGGAGTCTGATATTCTGAAAATATGCCTTCCCATAAACCTAAAAGCGGAATGGATCAATATACAAGTACTTAAGTTTCACAGACCAAACTTTTGATTTAATTAAGATGTTATCTGACAACATGCTATAAAAGTGTGCAAATATTTTATTCTGAAAAAGAAAAACTTTCCCACATACTGTCATTATTACCATTCAGTAAAATTTATTTTTACCATACCTGAATTTATCCCCAGTAAATACTTTACCCATACACTAAACTTCTACTTGGAATTATCTCTTTGGCTAATTATCCTCCATAATTTCATTTGTCCTAATCCTAATATCATCTTCCTTTACCTAACATCCCTTTGATTTTATCCTTTTATATTAATCATATTTATTTGTTTTTATCCTCCCATTTCCAACTATAAATACCCCTTCATTCCTTCATTTTCATACACTTACAACCCACCATAAATTTCACTCTCTTCTCATTCCATGCACTTCTCTTCCAATCTCCCTCCATCTAAATTTATTATTCTTTTCTACATATTATTATCAAAAGTGTATTATTATTACCAAAGTTGTATTATTACCTTGATCAAGTTTGATCAAGTTTGTATTATTCTATCAAATAGTGAAAATCTTCCCTAATTTTATAACACGTTATCAGCACGAGTCTCTATTCTATTAAGGTATTTATTTCTAAAACTTTTCTTATTACTACTTTCATCCTTTCTATATATGTTATATATTCTTTATTATTATGCAATTATTATTGCTGAAAGATTTATCGAGTAAGCATATATATATTATATATTCTTTATTATTATGCCATTATTATTGCCGAAAGATTTATCGAGTAGGTGTATATTATATCTATTATTATGCTTGTGTTTAATTTATGTTTATGTTTTTATTTAAATTACAAATGGGCTCATAAAAGGCCCATTGCCTTTAATTTTCGGTTATTTATTGGGCTACGAAAAGGACCATTATATTTAATTTCTCATTTTCATTTACGTTTTGATTGGGCTCGTACAAGGCCCATTGCATTTAATTCTCGCTTTAATTTCATTTACGTTATTCTTGGGCTCATATAAGGCCCATCGTATTTAATTTTCGGTTATTTATTTTTGATTGGGATAATTTATAAAAGGCCCATGTTTATTTATTTTTTAATTAAGTCTTTTATTTATTTAAATTTTAGAATTATGTTAATTGAAAGCCCTTAAAATTTCCGGAAGAAATTTGTTATGGGCATTGAATGCATTTTAAATGCAAATTGTCTAGCAGACGCAAAAAAAAGCGAATATACAGCAAAGACTGGATGTCTTACTGCCAAAAGATCCCGCAGATCTTTGAGGAAAATTGAAGAAAGATGTTGTATGACCACCAGAAGGTGGATATTTTATGACCACCAGAAGGTGGATATTGTATGACCATCCGATGATGGATACTGTTATTATCTTGCTTACCCTGAAAGTGCAAGCCAGTATATATTGAATAATTTTAATTTATGTTTCAGTTTTATTATTATGTGCTATTTTATTTTATTTACTTTACAGCATTTTATCATCGTTTCTAGAATAATGGCTCAGGCATTTGTCCTGAAGACAATGCAAGTTGACATCCAAGGGGGAGAATTATATGTGTGGATGTCAACTATTTCACATAACATGTGATAGTACAATCTCGAAATAAAAAGATTTAATACGCTCCAGAAGAGCATAAGTTTGAATATGTTCTTGAAGAACGCATGTTTTACTATGATCTAGAAGATCATATATTTACGCTCTGGAAGAACTAATACTCTTGAAGAGAACAGAAACTCCCATTTACAGTAATAAAAGAGATTATTATGGATCTCGTTGAATTGACTCTACTTTATTCCCTGAAGCGAATAAGACAGTATAATTAATTGTGCTTATGGCCCTGGATGAGGTTAAAATGGCAAAGGGAAAATATGCATATTATTATTGCATAATGGATCCATAACTGGAGAACATTCAAAGAGGAATTGTCCTCATACTTAAGTTTATACAGATATTTATCTGTTGGGTACAACACTGACTCTAAAACTCTGAGCCTTGTTGTTGATGTTGACCCTAACACTGTCGTTCCAGGAGAACCACATACCACCCATGTTGTTTTCTTCAGGTATCTCAAACCGATTCGTTGTAGGAAAACAGAGTGGGATTACACCATGATTTTCTCCTGCTTGCCACAAAGTCTCAGTAATCAGTACCATGTTGGGCTTGTACTGATTCTTCAGATCCCTTAAGGTACGCACAAAATCTTGGGACCTTCTTGCTACACCCCTGCAATTCCATAGTAGAAGTCGTACCTTAGGCCATGTAGGTGGTAACCCAGCCACCCTAGGGACGCTCCGAGCCATCATGGAAACCTGATAATAACTGCTTTGATTTAAAATTTGACACGAAGGCTCTAGGTGAAATTCCTGCAGTCTATTAGATATGAAAAACATAATAGAGTTAGCCGAGCCATAAAAGGAAGCCCTTAGATTGCTTTAGTCCTCTAGGAAGAATGTTTCTTTCATAGGAGTTACAAAGAACCTAGATGAATAAAGTTCATCAACAAACACTAAACGAGGAATTCTCGCCAGAACATTCGGTAATTCCTCTTGCTGCTCATTCACCATGCTATAAGCTAACCTATTCCTTCTTCCTAGAGAGGCACCCTCAACAAAGAAAACAGTAGCTGGGGAAGGCATTTTTCTTGTCTTGTTGAGTTTTCTGCATCTTCCTGTCTCAACCGCCTCCCCTTCTTATAGTCTGAGAATAGACAGCTAGGTGTCAGTTTTTCAAATGTGGACTCTTTTTCTGTCTCCGAAAGATCCAGAAGATTTTTCGGTAATTAAAAACTTTGCATTATTTGTCAGTAAACTCCAAAGCTTTTCAATCTTTAAGGTTTTGTTTTTGGAAAAGTTTTCCACTACTTTAATTATTGCTCAATAATTCTGATCTTTTCCGACATGAGTGGCAGAAATAAGCCTAATATTGACATATGTATTGCAGCCTGAATCTAACAATTGAGTAATTGAAACTTACCATATCTAGCCAGAAGCTGGAATGCACTAGCCTGAAGCTAGCAATTTTAAGTATTTAAATACACAGTTTGCACAGCCCGCAGCTGAGACCAACTAGAAATTGGCAGATAGATATGTGATTTATAGCTTCTATGCACCAGCCGGAAGCTAGTAAATAATTTTCCTAAGATATTATATCCAGTCTGAGGCTGGCACATAAATAGCAACCTGAAGCTGGCACCAACTTGAAGTTGGTACATAGACTTATTGTTTGGCATGACCGGATGGGCCATCCCAGGTCAATAATGATGCATGAAATTTATTTGGTCATTCATTGAAAAATCAGAAGTTTTACAATCAATGAATTTCCACGTGTTTGTTTGCTGCGAAATTAAATATATGGCCTTCCTAAGATGAGATTGGCCTAGAATCACCAGCAAGTTTGGAAATAATTCAGGGACATGTACACGGACTAATAAATCCGCCGTGTTGACCATCTAGGTTTTTACGATGCATCGACTAGATGGTCTATTGTGTGACGCAAGTTGGCATTGTGCGCACTTATTTTGATGATTAAGCCACTTGCGGGTACATATCCCTACTTATGTTATTAGACTATATGTCTAGATAATGCTGGTACATTTCTTTAATGGATAATGTATATCATTGGAAATAAACCCAAATAGATCTGGGGGATTATTGATAATTGATTGCAGGACCATTGTTAATGAAATATTACTGTTTGAGAAAATAGTATTTTATATGCAGCAACACTTATGTGCATCATGGTCACGAACCTAGTAACTCCCATCTTCGGACCGTTGGTTATACACTATATAATGCTCCACCACAGTATAGTAAAGATGGTCTGTAACGCCCCGATTTTTCGTTAATTAATTTTTATGGAATTTTTAAAAATTTTGGAAATTTATTTCTAATTTTGTCCTCACGGGAATGTTCCGGTATTTAAGGTCAAGGTAAATATTCTATTTCCTTGGTAATGTTACTGTTATGTGTGAATTAATCTTTATTCAAGGTTAATTTGGATTCTTACATGCATTTGTACATAAACACAAAGGTGGATGTAGTTTAGACTGATACCACATAGTTTTGGGAAGGGAATAGCTCAAAACACAACAAAACTTGCATTTTGACCAGGTGGGGAGTGGCTGCATTGACCTGGGGAGCTGAGGGAAGGGAACGATGTCGTTTGAATGCAAATGACGCCATTTTGTGCTCTGTCCGAACTCTAGACCTAGGGTTAGGAATAAAATCCTTACACTCTCTCTCTCCTCCCCACTTATCTTCTTCGTCTGATTCGGCCGCCCCTTCCCCACTCTCTTCTTTTCTTTCTTACCATTCCTCTCTCTCACGTTTTCCTTCTTTTCTTTCCTTCTTCTGTGTCTTCCCCCCCAATTCACCATCTCTTCCTCTTTCCACTCTCGCCGACACCTTCTTCTTCCTTTTCTCACGCTTGTTGTTGTTGAAGGACGCCACCGCTGCTGCAAGTCGAAGGAGGAGGGTTACGTGGGCTGGGTTTCGTTGAGGGGACGAAGATGCCTCGACATGAGGTGTTGTTGCGCCGCCGTTGTGGGGTAAGCAACGCTGTCTCTGTCTTCCCCATCTCCTTGCGTCGCCGCTTTATTCACCTCGACGCCGCCGTCGCCGAGGCAAGGTCTTCGCCACCATTAGTCGGGTAAGCCGACTCCTTTTTCTCCTCTCTTCTCTTATTCTTTCCCTCCGTTCTTCTTTTCCTTTCCCTCTTGAATTCGGTCTTGTTGCTGATGGGATTGTACTGACCGGGTTTGGTGCTTGATGTCGCACCTGTGTTGACTGGGTGGTCTGGTTTGGTTCGTGTTGGTGGCGGTCCGATGAGGACATCGTGTTTTGTTCTTGTGTGGGTCTGTGAGGGATTGATGGTGGATGTGTCTATGGCGGCGTGAGCGAGCAGTAGCGGT